TTTAAAATTGAAAATTGAAAAATTAAGTTTGAATTAGGTTACATCTTCTTACTTGAAGTGGATATGATTATATAACTCAGATTGGATAGATAGATAACTTTATATTTTTATCAAAGTCCAAAAGAGAAGTTCCTAAGATATTCATTTTAAATTTTATGAGAGAGAACGATATCTTTTTCGCGCGTAGTTGCATCTGAATGACCGCCTCTGCAGCGGCGAGTGCAACATTATTGCACGCGTAGCACATTTTCGTTTCTCGAGCAATATTTCAACTCGCGAGTAGCGAGAGAATCGCATTATTTCTGGAGTACGAAGCGCCCCGAACGGAATGCACTTTCTGGTTTATATTTATAATTATCGCGGCGGTGGGATACGCATTCGCCTCTACCGCGACATCCTGTTTCTTGTCTCTTCCGTTTTTGTTTTTCTCGCGAGACGTCTCGAGATTCGACACGTGACTGGCAAACGCTTCACGGATGCACCCTGTGCATCCACGTCGCTGCAGCTTCTCGTCGCGGTAGATCCTTTGAAAAAAGCCTCTTAGGATGATAAGTATGCGTCCGCGGTTTCCCAGCAAATCCTTAAAATATTTAAGGATTTATTCGACGTTTCATGAATATCCGAAAGGGCCGAATCTCCATCGACGTGATTTAACGAAACCCGAGCCATCTCACGATTTGAAATTTTCCTTCTTAAGAAACAAGAGTTATATCAAATTTTATTCTCCCATAATTCAATATCCAGATATTAAAAATAAATCTATAACATAAATATAACTGAATCACTTTTACAGAGATTGTAGAAAAGATTTTTAATTAATTTCATTAGAAATAAGTGAAAACAGTTTTTAATCTACTCTTGTGAAGACAAAAATTAATCAAGCTGCATAAATTTTAATGGAAACTTGTTATCATTATTTGTGATTTTTGTGCATAAAAAGTGCGAGGATATAGAATAATAGAAGGCGATCGTAGATAAAGGGAACAGGTTTCTGTTTTTCTTTTCCCTTCAGAATCATCAATTTTCCCAAAATTGCAACAGGCAGCTGTTGCAGGGTTTTTTTTGGTAATTTTTTTTGTTCCCGAAAGAAGGTATCTCATTTTCTGCGCCCATCTTGTTCGAATTGTGCCGAATATGTTGCTCTCGAGGAAAGGTCGATGACACGGGTTAGCTTATATACACTAGAAAGACGTTCGGTTTAAAGGTCCATTAGATGCCTCGGATGCAATATCGTTGCGACAGGTGACACACCGGGTCGTAAGACGCACACGGCGTATATTAAGGACCACGCCACCCGGTATGTCGTCACGACCAAGTGGAAACCTGGACACGCGGCACACGTTTCGTTTCGATCGCTCGGAGGGGGATAATATTATTTCACCTGAGTGTTCGCGGAAATATATCCCCGATGTAACATGGCGCGTAATATCTAAATAAACATATCGCTTGTAAGCGGCATGAAACCACTGGTTAATGTATGTGACCATCGTTGGATCCATATTTATTCGTCTGTCATCGAGAATGGGAAATTTTTCGCTCTCGATATCTGTTTACGTTGAATTAAACAGTAGTCACGTTGTAATGCGTTGCCCATTAATTAATATCAGATCGACGAATATATCGGGCGGAAACAAATTCAGGAGTCAAACTAAACATTATTGACAAATACGAGTTGGAGCTGCTCTTTCTGTCGCATGTGTGGCTCGCATGTGCCATCTTGTAACGCGTGACGATGAGTTTTGCGGTAATTACAATAGTTTGTTATACCGTGAGAGCTGTTTTCGCCGACTCGGGCGCAGCGAGTCGCGAAATGGAAAATCCATTTACGATCTAAGCTCTCCGGATTAGGGTAAGCTGTTACCCCAGATCGTCCCCTCGTGATTTCGGTGCTTCGATAACCCGGTCGTGCCGAAGCGAGATGTCCGCCGGTGATTCTCGATCGATTTCCCCGGTATCTCGACAAGGGATTAGGTCAGGGACCAGAGAAACGGGTTAGAGCGCGACGGAATCGGATGCTAGGACGGTCATCCGAGTGATGAGATGATTGGCCCGCTGATGAAACCTGATAGAGCTGCTTGCTGCTGCTCGGCCGGCTTGGCGGATTATGTTCTACCGTGCGAGAACACGCTGCTGATCCAGCCACTATGATCTCATCCCTCACTTCCGCCTTGGGACACCTATTCTGCCTCGCGAGTCTTCGGGGCGATCAATCGCCATCCGTCAAGTCGAAATCTGATTCTGACAAAATTAGGACCTCGAATTAGACGCTGTAATTTATTTTAGCGAGTTTAGTGACGTGAAAATACGAGATAGATGTATCTTATCTTATATATGTACCTCATATAGGATCTTCAAATAGAATTTCACTCTAGTTCGATTTTAATTGAAGAAAATGGGATGTGAGAGATACTTCCAAGTGAATTTGATGGAGAAATAAATTTCGCGATATTATATATATTTTCTCTCTCGCGGAAAAAGAGAGAAGAAATTCCTATATATATATATATATATATATATATATATATATATATATATATATACACACGGTCGTAAATTAAATAATGTTTAAGTGTCCATAAATTCGTGCCAGAGAACATTGTCTGTGCCGGGAGCGTGGATCGAAGGTGGAGGAGAAAGCAACAAATTGCATCCAGTTGAAAACTCGTTCGGCCATCTCTCTTGACTTCTCCACGACGAACAGCCGGTCTCGAGAAAAATGACACTCTTATCTAAAAAATAGTCGGCCATAAACAATCCCGCGGAATCGGTGCGCGATAGCGAGCGGACCCCGTTGCTCTCGTACACGCCTCGGTATCGCTCTTTAACCTGTCGACGAAATACCGCATGATAAAACGCGCGAAAAATCGCAGCTCTGGTAGAAAAGAGAAGTCGCCCAGACACATAAGAGCTTCCGCTCGCTCTGTATATTTTCGCCCAGATAAGATAAAATTCAATTGCTCACAAAATATTCACGTATCACGTGTCGTTAAATGTTATTTCTTGCGTTTTACATCGTTCGTTCGAAACGTTGCAATTTTTCGTCTCCAACGTAATTTTTTTTCTCCGTCTATAAATATTTTCGATGTGAGAACTCGCGATTTTCTCCGATATACGTGAACATTTTCTCATTTTTATCTACGTGACGTAATCGAAGACACAATGACTCAAGCGTGTACAAATATTGGCAGAGAGCTTTTAGCGCTCTTTACCTGGATGGGAAAAGTAGACTATGAGAATTATGTCATGTATTATTATAGTTGTTAAAAACAATTTAGAATTTAGATAATTTAATTAAAATTTCAAACGCTCGTTCGCGAAGCAACTGTCATATATTATGTATAAAATATATTTATAAAAAAAAACACACACGCCGATGAATAGCGATCTATTGTAACAAGAATATAATTTCAATTTCTTATCCGATAAAAATGTAATTTACAATCTTTACAATCACCCAACAATAATTCCTCGAGCGGATGAAATTTTTACCGCGGTAACATTTAATTTCCAATTAATTGAAAAGTAAGAAAGCAAGTCTCATCTTTCATTTTACGCTCCTGACATTTAATTTGTCCGGGCGCTTTAATTTTCAACGTTAAATAGCGCGATAATTAGCTCTTAGATTAAATTCGCGTCGAGGGAAAAATCGACTGCGAATTACTAGGAGACGAGAAGGAATACTCTATAACTTTACACCTGGATTGAGCGACGTCGAAAAATGCAGGATGAAAGAATACAAGCATCGAAATTAGGAAGATTGATCGTCGCAAAGAGAGAGATATATATATTTATTCCCTCTCGCGAATTTTCCCCGTCATTTCTACCATCAGGGGCGTCGCCTTTGTTGCTCGCGTCGCCGACCAGAGTTTTCTCTGGGTTTTACCGTCCGTAGAAGAGCGACCGTTTAAACGTCAACAGCTGCGACGCAGGCCGCCCCGCCTATGGCCGGCTCTATTTGCTCCTCTTACATTCTTCATGAAATAGTTTGGTCTCGCCGTGGATATACGCTGACTGCGCGCCCCCCGAGAGAGATTAAGAATATCTTTCGGCTTTCACGGGACGCTCCGAGATGAATCGGAGCCAGCCACGCTGCTTCCAGGATGACGTGGCTTCCTCGAGAGGAGCACCACTGCCCGTACTTTAAAAGAAAAAAAAAAGGATACGAGAGTAGCCGTGACGACCCCTGAACCCCCCCGAAAGCGTTCTCGTGGAGCGAGATGGGAAACTGCTCGAATCGTAAAATTCTTTGAGATAAGACAACGACGAGCGCTTTGAATGCGAGAGATTTAGATAGAGGAGTAATCGATGCGCACTCGGGGAACTTACGACTAAGTACTTTGTGAATTGGAATACCTCTGTCTCTCTCTTTCTCGCCTCGGACACTAGCGCGGGTGTTATCTGAAGCGAGAGATACTTGTTCGAGAGCAGCCGGAGGGAGATCTGATTGTTGGATCTCTACGCGGTGTTTTATTGCCCATTTAAGCGGATTGATTGCGGAAACGAAGAGAAATATTCCGTATTTCGACGCGAGCTCTCGTATTGTTTGAATCGATGTGAATTCGATATTATATAAAAGTAGATTAATATAGAAATTTTAAAAAAATATCGTTCTAAAGATTACAAAATACTATTTAACATTGCAGAATATCATTTAAAGATATAATTATTATATTACAGTTATATTGCAATTATATTTCAAAAGTTTAATATTCCATATTTCGACGCCATCTCTCGTATTGTTTGAATCGATGTGAATTCGATATTATATAAAAGTAGAGTAATATAAAAATTTTTAAAAATATCGTTATAAAGATTACAAAATATTATTTAACATTGCAGAATATAATTTAAAAATATAACCATTATATTACAATTATATTTAAAAAGTTTAATTCTTGTGTCGCAATGAAATTTATTGATTATTTAATTAAAATAAAATTTAAAAAATAAATTTAAAAAACAAATTTTCAATATACATATATAATACTCGGTTCCTTAAATTTTAATTACTGAAAATAATTCAAATGTTTCAAAGCGGGGATTGATTAATTTCTCTCGAGTACCAAAGGTTTAATGCTTATTTAATAATTCCTGAAGCAAATATACATAAATTCACATTTCATTCGTGCTTTCTTTCTCGCGGATAAATAAATTCTTCGGTTTCTCTCGCAATACTTTTTAACGACTCACTAATCGAACTAATTGGCACGAAATCGCTCGTGGTATTTTAAAATACTTATTTAATAATTCCTAAAGCAAATATATATAAATTCACCTCATTCGTGATATCTTTCTCGCGGATAAATAAATTCTTCGATTTCTCCCACGCAGTACTTTTTAACGATTCACTAATCGAACTAATTGGCAGGATTCGCTCGTGGTATTTTAGCATAGACCTAACCTAACCTAGCCTAGGCACTTTGGTCGATACTCGAACTCGTCCTCCCCTTTCACGAAAATAAAACCGACTACATAAAATTGGCTGTGCGCGATTATTCTAAACAAGGGCTTATTCATGCACGCACGCAGTTTGAAAGTAACAGCACTTGGTACTCAACACGCGCGTCTGGCTCGTTCCTTGTATACGCATGAATTGCACTAATTTCCGACGTATTTCCTCTCGCTATTGTGAACACAGGCACATACACGCACATTATCCGAGTCGAGGCGCAATCTCTTACGCAATCGCTAGGGCGCAAACACACTTTGCTCGTTGAGTCGAAAAGAGAAAGGAACCTTAACAATCTTCATCGTCGCAGCACGTAACACTTATATCACAGATAATGGGTGCCGCTACGCTTTGGCCGCGTTCGCGACGATGGAATCCTGATCGGGCTTAGTGGGCAGCGGCCTGTTGGCCATCTTGCTGGTGGACGCGGACGCTTGCTGGGGTTCCGACAGCTCCGAGTACAGATGAGCAGTCGCATCTGACGGTTCAGCATATTCGCACAGCAGCGAGTTCGGCCTCTTGTTGTTCTTCTTGTTGGTCGCGCCCAGAATACTCTCGCCGAGCACCTTGAGGAAGCTCATCGGCCTAACAGGTTGATCCTTGCAGGTAGAATCCACCTCGTGATGATCCGCACCGTAGCCCAAATTCTTCGGTGGACCATCGTTGCTGAGATGATCGTTAACCACGTCTGGCGGTAGCGGCTGAGGTGCCCGGCCGATCAGACTCTCTAGGATCGGTTGAGACAATCGACTGGTGCTGGGGACCGTCTCATCACCTGGTAATTCGGCGTATAAGTGATTCTGGTCGCTGGTCCGCTGATCGTGTGGTTGCGCGTATTCCGTGATGGGTGGTCTGACTCGTATCGCGCTGGGCAATAACTTCTCCAAGGATGGTGCTTTGGTGCCGATGTTGACAGACGGTTTCGATGCTCCGCGAGACCTCTTGACTCTCAGATGGATCACATCGTAGGCGTTCTCCTCCCGATCGGCCGCCGGTTGCCGATCGTTGTTGTTGTTGCAGCTCTCTTCAACCTTGATGAGATCGTACAAGTGCTCGATCATCTCTCTCGCCTGGCTGTAATTGTCGGGATCGCTCAGTCGCTCCCGAAGATCCCTCAGGTACTCCTCCGTGAGCTCTTCCGGTAACGTTTGCGTGGCCTTGTTCTCTGCGAACGGATAAATATCGTCGTTTTCCTGGTCGTCGTCCTCTTGAACACTCGTCTGAGGCTCCTCGATATGAAGGACCCTGGTCTCCGGCTGGAGACCGACGTATTCGTGCACGCTCAGCCGCGAGATCGATCTGGCCGACGTCGCGGCGGTCATTCCGTTGCTGGACGAGAACCAGCTCCTTAGATTCGTCAGCGGACCGGATGTCAGCTTGGGGCAGACCCCGCGACGACGTACGTAGAGGATTCCCGAGGCCAGGATTGCCACAACAACGATGAAGACGGCCACGATGCAGACGATGATGATGATCCTCTTCTCGCGCTCCAGCTGCTCCGACTCGCTCATTTCCATATCAAAATATTTGTTTTTTTGTTTCGGGTAAACGTGAGGGCCCACGCTGGGCGGGATGACGCTCGGCTTCGGTTTCGACGACGGTTTCTCGCACTCGATGTGAGATCCCTGCGTGCAGATGAGTTGCGTAAAGTTGCGCATGGTTATGTAACCCTCGGACAGGTTCAGGCACTTGTCCAGATTCTGGTCGACCATGCAGTGGCTGGATTCCATGATCATGGAAGCGAAGTTATCGAGCCCCGTCACTTCGCGCATCCACTTCTCGAGATTGCAGTTACACTTCTCCCTGAAGTAATTGTTACCGATGCGCGCACTGTTCACACTCTGCGAGATTGCCACGAACTTGAGCGCGCCCGCTCGCGCCTTTTCTATGTGATTACCGGTAAAGGAGAATTCGAAATTTGGACTGGAAATGGCGCCCACCTCCGTTTTAATAGCCTCCGCTTTAATAGCCTCGATCTCGAGATCCTTGAAGAGATTGTGGTCGATCGCTATATAGTTCCACTGGTGAAGGACAATCGAACCAGGGCGCAGATGCCCAAATTCGTTGTTGCTGAAGGTGACGTTCGCCGCTGACGTGTTGATGGCCCCGGTGTCTACCTCGGATAATCTAACAGAATAATAAAATTAAAACGTGCATTAAAATAAAATACTAAATAATTAAAGAAATCGAAATTCGAGGACAAGAAATTAAGAAATTGACTGGAGTTGAATTTGTTGTGTTTGCTGAAGCAATGTAAAGAAAAGAAGAGACGGATTGCTTTCCATTTCACGACCGTGAATTTCTGCTGTAAATATGATAAGTAACTTTGCGAAGTGAATTTAATATCTCGAACCTTGAATATTGAATGGTCAGATTGTCGTGACCAGCCCTGAAGGCCGCCGTATTGATATTCGTAAGTTGCACATCGACGAACTCGAGATGTTGTATAAGGGCTCTGTCGCTGAAGGCGCCGGATTGGATTTCGTAGATCGATGCGTTGCTGATGATCACGCTGAGGATGGTCATCGCGCAGAAAGCGTCCTTGCGTATAGTCTTGATCCCGATGTCGTCCATTCGTATTCCCGCGACTGCCGAAGGAAACACTGCCTTGGGTAATTCGGCGATCCTCACACTTTGGAACATTATCTGTATTGCAAAGAGCACGACAATCTCAAAATTGTGTTATTAAATTTCCAAGATGTTACTCGATCTAAAAGTCATTTATTGTATCTGACGTTTAATCGAATAATAACTCGTGCAAATCAGTGAATTGCCCTCATTTAGTGACATTTGAAACGGAGAATGTTATGAATATTATTATTAAAAATATTTATATCTATGCGTTATTCGATATCAGAATTGAGTAACATAATATAACTGGGATGCGAGTATCACGTAAATGTATTAAATTAATACGTTATTGCAGCGCGTAAATGCATTAAATTAATTACATTAGAGAAACATTGTGGAAAAAGATTTACTAGATTTTTTAATTAATCCCCGTTAATTTCTTCTTTCATAATAATACTAATTTTTGTCAAATTAATACGATTTTATTGCTAAACATATACGATGTCATTTATTTTTAAAATAAGTTTAATTAACTCGATAATATAATTTCGACTATTATTACTTTATTAACAACATTCTCTAAATATAATTTCTTTCTGATCATGCATACACTAGCAGAGGAAATAAAAATATACAGATTAAATATAGTTACGTGTAAAAGAATTTCAATTGAAAATATTAAATTAATTTACACTTAATTGTGTTAATTCGAATTACAACAAACGTGCATATCGATTTAAAAATTTAAATTTTTCCTCTAAAGTACGATAGTTTCTCGTTAAAAGATTTAATTGTTCCCAATCAAAATATTAAGTTTAAATTGCTCCAAAATTTCCGATTAAGCAGTGCATTCATTTATTTAAAAGAGAATTTATATAAGGAGATAGGAATTACGTCTATTGTTTATCTTTATCGAAACCAATTCCATTCATAAGACGATAAAGATACATTAATATCGGTTCTAATACGTTATCATACTTTAATAATTAATAACGATGCATCAAGATAACCTTGGTCGCTGGTCCGTGTCGTCCGTGTTGAGGCGCTTCGAATTTGAAGGCATTGCTGGAGAGCTCGAGGGACTTTACATCCTTCACCGAGATCCACAGCAGCCAGGAAAAGGCATTGGGCTTGATCTCCACGTTTTTGCAACGCGATATCGAGATGCTGAGTGTACCACGCGTGTTCCGGAAGGCGTGGCTCTCCAGGAACACGCTGCTGCACTCGGACACCTCGAGATGCGTGTTGGACGCGTTGAGGTTCTGAAAGGCCTGTCTCTTGGCGACCACGCTGTAGATCCTGGAAACGTGGACGTGTTTTAGAGGCACCCCCCCGTCGAACGCGCCCGTGTGTATCCTCAGTTCATGGCAGTGCGAGATTTCGACGTCCGACGCGTCCGGCGGAATCATCCCCTCCTCCAGCTCCACGTTCTAGGGAAGGAAAATCGAGACGAGAGATGAAACATGACGCTATGTCGAGTCTGTGCGAAAGAACGTTAGCAGGTGTAATTAAAGAAGATGGTAATGTCGCGCGATCGACATCTCGCACCTCCAAGGTCGGGTGCCTCGTCATTTGCTTCTCTATCTAGATTTACATCTTGTGCGTTTACATAATGAGCGGATATCTAGCGACTGACTAAGGCTGTTTTCTGACATCATTATGCCTCCTCTCGCTTTGTAATAATTTACGACACATTTTATTTTTTGATACATAGAAAGAATAATATTTTTGCACAACATTAATTGCACATAACAGCTAGTTTCACAAATCGTTGAAAAAAGAATTTTATTTTGGTTCAAAGTTTTCAAATTTATAATTCCAAAAAAATTTTTTAAATTTATTTTATTTGAAATTTTATTAAATTTTTATTAAATTTTATTAAATTTTATCTATTAATTTTTATAAAATTTTCATTTTATTTTATTAAAAATTTATTTTATTGTAAATATACATGGTTATAGTTAATTGAGCGAGATAAGATAAGAAGTGAAGTAACAATTATATTCTCATTAAACAATCGAGTTTCCGAGGAGACTTTGAAATATTTCTACTGAACTCCACGTCGACTTCCTGACGAGACTATTTATAAATTTCCTTCAGTTTATGCCAGTATATTCTCTGCGCTGACCCTGATTATACGTGTCACTCGAACTTCTTTAGAGATTCCTTTTAGTTTTGTTCGATGTTACATTGTTTAGTAAAAAGACAGATTAGAGTTCTACGATAAACTACTGAGAAAGAGATTTTAATCTCTTAATACTTCTGACTGCGAAACGACCCTATTGAAGATCATTGAAAAATGTAAGGCAGAGGAAATTTAGCCAGCCTATACAAAAGACCCTTGAAATCTCACAATCATTCACAAAATTTGATTTTTGCAGAAATTTTTGACGATTCACGAATAAATATTGGAGACAATCAAGGAAGTTTCTTTTTCACAGTTTATAGAAAATTATTCGTTTCTCTCTATTTTTAGATTACTGATTTTGTTTCTGGTGATATGTGTGTATGTGTGTGTGTGTGTGTGTGTGTGTGTGTGTGTGTGTGTGTGTATGTGAACGCATCCGGTTTCTTGCTGCGGCAAGAACCTTTGACCCGAGGACTAAATCATTATCTACGAGATATTTTTCCATATATGAGATATTACAACACAACTACAAGCTTGTGTCGGTCGTACCTCAATGAGTAATCTTGACAACTTGATAATACATTATAATGTAGGTATTTCGTGACACAAAAAATACGACTATAAATCACTTTATACATAATTTATTTTTCTGTATTTCCGATTTATTATCTGTTTGCCTCTTTTGATATTTGCGATAAAAAAACCACCATATTTTAAAAGTCATCTCTTTTATCAAATATTCTTCCTTTGCTCTTTCTCTCTGTCATTGAAAAATAGAATTCTAAAGAGTTGCGGATGCCATTTGTGAGAATGATATACTCTACAAATCTCTAAATAAATAATTTATAAATAGATAAATTTTATAAACAAATAAATAAATAATTGTGTATCTTTTTTCTAGCTTCTCTCAAATCTCTTCGTAAAATTATGGAATGCTTGAAATGGATAGAATTATCGGTCTCTTCCCGTTTGGATTTCTTCCAAGTTCGGATGTTTACTTTTCGTACGAAATTATTTTTCCGTGTATCCCGGTTTATTTTTACGTTCAACTTTGGTCTACACACACGAAAAAGCTCAATAAACGTAGACCGCATAATGCGGCATCCGTGCCATGCTGGTTCCTTCAAAGCACCGGAAAATCGTTTCAAGAGTTCATTAGAACTCCGATGAGTCACTGTTCGCGACTAGTAATGCGTACGGTTCGACTTTCGCATCCCGTGTCTTGGTTACACGGTAACGCGAGGCTCCGGTGTTCCCTTGCTTGTTTTGTCGTCTCCTCATCGCAATCGAACTTTCATAAGTCGCGGTTTGATTTCAACCGGTAGATTTACCCTTGAAGGCTTGCTTGTCAGAAAGAGAAGAAAAAGTATTCACGTATCGATATCATCTTAAATTAATATAAATATTAAGAGAGAAAGAGAGAAAGTAAGATCGATTAAGATAACGCATGGTGTAATGTTAGGCAATCTTGTTGGACTACGGTGATCGTTGTTTCAGTACGATTCGATCAATCGATGATATCGGGCTTAGTTTCATGACAGCATCCGACATAAAGTGCATCTAGATAAAGTTCAGAAATTTATTGCGCGAAATAAAAGTAGGTTCGCAACAATAATGTACATTACTCCTCATTATCATACATATTTGATCGCGCAAAATTATTAATTTTTAATTTACTGGACTCTGTTTGATTTGTTATAGGACTCATTAATTTTATTTTAATACGGCACTTTTTAATCTACTCTAAACTCTTATAAAGTAATATTATTTTCTGATATCTATCCTTTACTACAACATAATGCGGATTTTCTGTGTACTCCGTATGATGAGATACGCGCTTCTCCGGCTGATAACGCTGAGTAAAGTAAAACAGTATTAGTAGTGAGCAGCAGTGTTGTTTATGCTCATTTCTAATTAAAAATATACGTGACTTCCTTGAAGTTCAGCAGAAGAGTTTCGTGCGGAAAGAATTAATTAGCAAAATAGAGATAAATAGCTGGATAGATAGGGAGAGAAAAACAGAGAAAGAGAGACACGAGAGAAAAAACCGTAATATTAGAAAAGCGAGCAAAATACGTATGTGTCAACGTGTGATACAACCCCTTTGTTGGGGCTCTGTATCGGATCCATTTTCATTATGTGGCATCGATGACATCACTTTGCACGCACTTTGCGTGGCGAAACCCAGCTGTTACTGCTGTCGGTCCTTCGGGATGAGGAGAAACGCGGTCAGGGAAGAGCGAATGCAAGTCGGAAAATGCGTCGTTCCTTTCTATGCTTCTCGACGAATGACTAAGTCTGCTCTTAAAAGTCGCACGATTGTGACTCAAGGGCTGGGATAACATCGGTTATTTCTGCGTCGCGGTCCTTGGGCACAAAGAATATTTCTCTCCCTCTTTCTCTCTCTTTCTCTCGAGATCTTTCACGAACAACAAGACGTGAAATCGCTGGTGCGAATTAATTTTACAGTACCGAGATGACGAGCTGGCCCGCGGCCATAGAATTTTCTACGATTGCCGCGATGTATTTCTAGACATCGATTCATTTCACTCCTCCTCAATTCCTCTATAATATATTCGATAAATTAATAACATAGTGGCCATTGAAATAAAAAATAAATTCATTATGTCATAGGATCAATTTTCCCATCAATTGAGATACTTTCGATCGAACTTTAAATTTAAAAATCATCGAAGGTTCCGCACAATTTTTTCCCATTGTTCACTTTAAAGCGATTTTAAAGAGAGTATTTTTCACGATGGGAAAGGGGACTATTGGAGACAAAGAAATCCATACGAAAACATTTGTATTTAAACTTCCGAAATTTTCCGGCAGCTGAAGTTATTCGAGAACGGTTACATATCTACAATTTGTTCCGGACCGCCCTGAAATTTTAGAGCGGATTTTTTTTTTTTAACATCGCTCCGCATCTCGTTTTGCTTCGTTCAGCGACGAAGCGTATCGAACCGTTTCCGTTATCGTTTCGGTTTAGTTTCGATTCCATATGTTTGGTTTAGCTTCGATTCTATACGGGAAAGATTTTTGTAAGAGGAAAACTTTAGAGATCTCTCGAGTTCTCCCTCTCTCGCGATACCTTCACGAGACATTTAGCCAATTTTTGATATGACTCATTTAATAGGATAGAAGATATTTAAGAATTATTAAGATTTTTACAGAATTAATTAAGAATTAATTAAGAATTTTACAGAATCAATTAAGAATTAATTAAGAATTTTACAGAATCAATTAAGAATTAATTACGAATTTTACAGAATTATTTAACGCTCGCTGAATTTATAAGAAATTCAAAATTTTGATTCTTCACGTATGAATTTATTTTTTAAATACTTTATTACATTATGTACAACATATATTACGCTGTATTTAAGATAAGATAATTCTGTATATTTTCCTTCGCGATTCGATAAAGAGGCCGTATTATTTGACGTTATTTCCCGTTATCTGATTAATTATTTAAACATACATGATGATACAACAATGTAATATGAATACGAGGGATATATTTCTGACGAGAAACCGCAACGTCGATGTTGCAGTACGTAGGTACCGTTAGCGAAGGGAATCTTAAGAAAGCTGAATGTCCGGAATATCGATGAATCGCGAGGGTCACATTGCATCGGTGGCGAGGAAACATTATTTCAACTTACAACACGAGTGGGATAAGTTTGGTCGTGCGATGCATCGAGCTGGAAATAAAGAGAGCAGGTCACTTTAACCGGATTGCGCAAACACCATTGGATACCGTGGTAACCGTGGAATTTGCGAATTCGCTATCATGAGAATTGATAGTTTTTTTTCCGGACGCCATCCTTGCTCGACGAATGGAACGATCGGATAGAAATCCTGTTTATTATAATGACCTAATGCAACTCGCGAAGGTTATTCGCTGGCGTTAAAATATTTTCGCACACGCTGACCTTACCAGAGCAAACACGGGAAAGAGCAACCTTGAAGAGGCGTTTGTATAAAATATTTTCCGATGCATAATTTTGGCAAATAAGTCAATATTTTATCCTTATTTTAATTTAATTTTTTATTGTTATTTATGTAATTAATATTACAATTTTTGAAGAATTTCATTAAAATTCCAAGAATTTTATATACAATTGTTTTTTCTCGTCGATGAAAGTAAAAATAAAATGCAAATCCTTCCATGGTGCAATTAATCCTTACAGGTCACACATTTTTTTTCTTTGATACATAATGCCTTGTCACTGTTTTAGTTGTCCTAAAATACTTGAAAAAATTTATAAAAATTCACGTACATTTTTTGACATCTGT